CCCCAAAACCCCAAAACCCCCACAAGACTGAATAGAATGAAGTATTAGTAGAATAGCAAGGAATATCAATTAAAATGTTAATAAAAATAAATTCTATTCATTTAGTCTCTACTATATCTCATTTATGATCATGTTTGAGAATCATATTTGAGACTTTTTTAATCTCCGTATTAAGCATCACCTTCTCCACCATCTCCTAAAACATCATATTTGCTCTTTAGGTCTTTATGCTTGTGGCAAACAATGCAAATGATTACAATGAGCAAAAGCAAAGTTATTAGCACTCCAATTAAACTCCAAATCAGTATAGGATTTATCAAAATTTCCTCATGCAAATAGCAAGTTTCAGAGTAACCTTGATCATCAACATACAAAGAATTATCAGCAGCACTATCTTCAATATACAACTTAGCTGTGACTAATTCGGCCTGAGATTAGATAATACAGTTTTCGAGTGGATAATGAGCTACATTTCTGACTCCATTCTCGCAGGGACTTCTAACAGTCATTACTTAGTTGATCAGGCATTAAGTGCATGCATATTTAGATTACCACTCAAAGATATAATGGCAATCACCTTGCTTGCTAGAGTAAACAGGCCATCCCATATCATCAGAATTGACATTGCAAATATATCTGATCTCACTAGAGTAGTTCTATTTAGCATCATGTTTACATTTATCACCCTAGTCATACCTTACAGTATAACCATTTTTTGTGATATTAAAAACCTATGAAATTTTAGAACCTAAATTCTGCTTAATCCTCATAAAAGATATAGCACTCAAGCATTTTTCTGAGAGCTTGTCATTGTTTTAGAGGATCTCATTTTATATGACTTCAGTGGAAGATTCCTAGAATGGGAACAATCCAAAGATATATCCTATCTGATTACTCTCCTTAAGTTCATGGTACTCATAAGTTCTAAGCTCAAATTTCTCTATAAGGAGAATTAATAATAAAAAAAATAAATTTTTACTATGATCAGCAAAGAAGAACATCTCACTAGTTTGCTATTAAGTCAATAGATTCTGCTCATGATGAAGAATAGGTCCCATAATCTGGTTTTCGCAATAATTGTCAACAATGTAATAACTACAGACTGACTACGAGTCTAGTTAATGAGGGTGTACCTAAATGTGATTCTTGAGCTGTATTCTGTCATATACGATACAACTGATAATGAATTTCAATAGCAATATTTATTTACAAAGTCTGATCAAGTGAAGGAAATGTGTATACTGGACATTATTTGCATGAACTCCCTACATCAGGATTTATGCTATCTTATGGGCATTTATCACATCTGTTGTCTGTAAAATAGAGTTATAGTTTGATTTATTACTAAATTCATTCGAAGTGTAACCTGCTCCGCATTTTGCACATTCTTGTCTGGATCCTATTGTTATTTAACCTTTTGGACATCTCTGGCATCCTGTCATAATTCCCTCAGAACTACCTCTAACGACAATTTATGATATCTAACATATTCATTAAGTACTTTATTATTCAATATTTTTATTACTTGAACTTCCCCTTCAGAAGGTTTGTCTAAATCAGTGTCAGTTTAAAAGGCTATATCAAGCACGTAGCTATTCTCTTCTAGCTTTATATTGTATTGCATTTCTTTGTCATTTTCATCTTAAAGAGTTTCATCTAAAGTTAGTGTTTAGTGGAAATAATTACGTTTAACATGTCCATTTAGAAGAATTTAAACTTTTTCATCCTGATTCAGTTTCAGCGCCTTATACTTGATTTAAACCTCTCCAATTCTCTCGTTAGTGATTTAAATATATTTTCTCAGTATCACTCTTACTCCTCTAGGCACTCCATAACCCTAGAATCATAAAAAATAATCAAATTACTGTTGAAAGATGCTTTCCATCTGCTCTCCATCCATGCACAAAGTTACAGATCTTAGGATTGGCTACTTCTGAGTTTATCACTGTGCAGACTTTATGAAATGTATCTGGAACTTTATCAAACATTTCATATTTTTCTTCTTTGACTTATTCCTGTCCACTCTGGCATTTAATACACTTTGGGATTTCTTATTCATATGAAAGATATGTGTTATTTGGACAAGTTTAGCATTCATTACTTGATTTGTTTAAATACTGATTTTACTAAGTACACTGAGTACATGACTCAGTCTTTTATACTGGAAGCATAAAGTTTCGGAAATCACATTGAATAGGTTGAATGTACTAGTAGCTGACCTACCTTGAGCCATCTATACACTCACTAAATGACATAATATGATCTTTATCTGTACAAGGATGCCTTTTTATGCAAGAATCTTGGCCTACAGAGCCGGGGAAAGAATATTGATCCTAGGCACAAGGTTTGCACAAATCTATATCAGCCTTCGTATCAAAGTAATAGTTGGCCTCACATGAATCACACCTGTCAGACCCTTTAGTAGAATAACCTTTAACGCAAGGGATACATTCTGTAGCAGCTTATTTCGTTCCAATTATCTTAACATATTCTAGTTCAACTAGAAGAGATGTACCACTATTTTATCCATTATGTTTCTTGTAAACCCATCTAAGCTTCTTCTTACCTGGTGAGTCAATCTGCTAGCTTTGCACCTTCCATTTATGATTCTCATTTAGCCTGTCAACAAATACCTCTTGATCATTGACAAAAAATTCAAAAAAGCCATTTCTAACATTGTCAATCTGAAATGAATCTTTCTTGTATTTAAACTCAACATATCCAGGTTTGACAAAATCAGCCATATATATTATCTCAAAAGCAACTTCAGTGTCATGTTGATCGGATTAACCGGCTACTATACCATTCTTAAGAGGCCTCCAAGGCTCACAGTCCTTATCCTAGATCCATCTTTTCAATTAGTCTAAATATAAGCAATGGAATTCAAAGGGCTAAATAGCTTGCATTTTTTAATATTAACTGTGATACACTAACCAATCACCCATCTGGCCATCTACAAAAAGTCCTGGGACACTGTAAGTATTTGCTGGGCATAATGAACAAGTTTGTTCAACTCGATTATTAGTTATATTGAAATCTGAAAATGAGCCTGCATCACATTCTTAAGTGCAAGACAGCCCATCGACTCTGGGCTTTAATACTTCTGATGACTCATCACATTCATAGCTTTGCGGGTAATAGTAAAATGCTGAAATCAGGTTAAATTTAGGAAATGAGCAAAATATTGAACTTACCAGATCTAGTCATTTTGACTGGATCACACTGTTCAAACCCCACTTTCTGGTCATCAGCTATACACTTTCTCAAATGAGCAGGTGAAAGCAATAATATGAGAGCAAAAGATATTTTGACTATTGCAGAACCTGTTGTCTTCTAGCCTCTGTGCATTAATTTCATATTTATAAATTTAACAATGAATTTACTTTACAATTAATAGTTCAACATATTAGCATTTGGGGTTTTGGGGTTTTGGGGTTTTGGGGTTTTGGGG